AGCTGGATGGAAAGTGGAGCAGCCGGGACTAGAACCCACACCCATATAGGATGCCGGCACTTCAGGCCAGGGCGTTAACCCACTGCGCCACAGTGCCGAACCAAAGACTTTATATTCAACTATCCTTAAGACATCTCCATTATATAGCCCAGATCAAGCTAAATGTGTCTAAATGTTCCCACCTCCTACTCCCAAATGGTTTCTTCCTTTAGTGTAGCCCATCTCATTGCTAAGTTTACAAACTTGGACAATATTCTAGACACACCCTTCTCTTCAATCCAGTCAATATTATGGTTCCCACCTCTTTAGCATCCTTCAGTCATTCTCCTGTCTGCATCCTTTGGAAAATCATCTCATTTAGGCCTTTATGATCTCTGACTCAGACCTCACTGGAACCTCTACACAATGGCAAGAATAATCTTTAGGAAAATACAACTGCTAGAAATAAGGTGGGAGAGAAATCTAGGGCTTGGTAATAATATTTTTAAAAATATTATGAAAAGGCATGATTCAAGAAAGAAATAATTGATAAGCTGGACTTCATTAAAATAAAATGTTCTTCTCTGTGAAAGACACTATCAAAAGAACGGAAAGAGAAGCCATAGACAGGGAGAAAATTTTTCAAAGACATATCTGATGAGGAAAAAAAAAATGATGAAAAAAATGAGCCAAAGACCTTAATAGGTATGTCTCCAAAGATATTCTGATGCCAAAAAAAGCAAACACTTTTATGTTATATGTCATCAGAGAAATGTGAATTAAAACAACAATGAGATATCACAGTACATCTGTTGGAATAGACAGAATCCAGAACTCTGAACACCACCAAATGCTGATGAGGAAGTGGAGCAACAGGAACCCTCATTCATTGATGATAGAAATGAGAAGTGGAATAGCCACTTTGGAAAGCAGTTTGGCAGTTTCTTACAAAACTGAACATATGCTTACCAGGTAATCTAGCAATCACAGTCCTTGGTATTAAGCCAAAAGAGTTGAAAATGTATGTCTTACAACAACCTGCACACAGATGTTTATATTAGTTTTAACCACAATTGGCAAAACTTGGAAACAGCCAAGGTCTTTTACTAGATAAATGGATAAATAAAAGGCAGTAATCCAGATACTGGAGTAGCCCAAAAATATAGAATATCAAGCCAATGAAAAGTCATGAAGGAAACTTTACTGCAGATTACTAAGTTAAATAAGACTACATACTATATGGTTCCATCAACATGATATTCTACAAGATAGAACTCTTTTAAGATTTATTTATTTATTTGAAAGGTAGAGTTACAGAGATAGAAAGGGAGACAGAGATCTTCCACTTACTGGTTCACTCCACAAATGGCCACAATAGCAGAAGTCAAGATCCCAGAACTCCATTTGGATCTCCTACATAGGTGACAGGGGTCCAAGCACTTGGACCATCTTCTGCTACTGTCCCAAGTTCATTAGCAGAGAATCTAACTGGCATACAATATGGAATGCTGGCATCACAGGTGGCTTTACCTGATGGACCACAACACTGGTCCCTACAAGCTAGAATTCTGCAGACAGTAAAAAGATCAGTGGTTTCCAGGAGTTCGGGATAAGAAGAAAGAACACAGAGGATTTGGGGGTGGGGGATGAATTGATACTATAATAGCAGATATATTTGTCCAAACCCATGAAACACACAACACCAAGACAAAACCCTAGTGTGAATTATGGAATGTGGGTGATTAGTATGTGTCAGTATAGGTCTATTAATTGTAATAATTGTACCACCCTGCTGGGGGATGTTAATAATGGGGATATGCTATATATTCATCGAAGCATGGAATATATGGACAATCTTTGTGCCTTCCCCTCAACTTTGTTGTAAGCCTAAAACTGCTTTAAAGACGTAGTCTTTAATACATTTGTAGTCAGCCACAGGGTAGGTACCTACACTAATTTTTTATGCCTCCTTGGTGTTCCACTTTTGTTCCCTCTACTTAGAATGCCTGCTCCTTATTCCTACATGCTTCTCACTTGAAAAACTCCTCCTCATTCATATTCAACTTTGAGGTGAAACTTCAACACCCAAATGATGCTGTCTTCAACTCTCCCAGGTGCTGCGTGCTTCCTTCGACTTCTACTCCACTAGTGATCTCATTGCACTATAATTGTTTGCAGGCCTGTCTCCTCGAGAAATAGTGGCTGAACTGCTTCATTGCTTTGAATACAGTGTCTGACATGGCATTGGGATATAGTAGATGCTCAGTAATCAGTGGCTTTGTCACTAATGTTTTAATATTAAAAGAAAAGCATACAAATGTCATGAGGGAATTTCAAAACATTGGTGGAAAGATGGAATTACAAGTTTATTTCATGCAGAAAACTTTATATGCACATTTGTTCATAATATACATTTTTCATAAATTTTTGAAGACACTATGTATGTGTAGATTTCAATTCTTTTTGCATAAAAATAAACTAACCTTCTAATTCCATTTGTTGAAGTATACTGCCTCTCTTTTGAAGGCTGGCCCAAGTTCTGCTTCTCCTATGAAATGTTTGCTCACAGCTGCAGGCCTCGTGTGTGCTACTGTTGGTAACATCCTGAATGGTACTTGATCTTACATTGTCCTACATCATTATTTATGTATTTAATTTCTAATGCTTGTTTTCCTAACAAGACATAAAGTTCCTTGAGGACAGGATGATCGTTCATTTCACACAATATGCTAATATGCACGTAGGTAACTCACTAGAACAGCAACAGCCATGGAGTGCTGCACCTGCAGGCACCAGAATACTGACGGCCGTGGTCATTAGGCCAGGCCAGTTCTGGATAGCAGTGCTCGAAGAATTAACTTGGAGCTTTGTGACCACAAGGAAAAAATGACTTCTAAATGGCTTAAGCCACACTAGGGACACCTAGGTATGGTATTTTCCCAACAACCACAATTACTAATCTTCTGTGTAGTTCTCACATTCACCTGAATTCTTCCTCCATCAACAAAGTTTAAAAACTTACCTTAGAGTGGCTGAAGACAACACTTCCGCCCTTCACTCCTTTTTCTCTGCTATTTATTTATCCCATCTGTCACCATCACTGCCACTGGTCTTTGGTGAAAGGACAGTGGTTTAAAATCTAGACTTTTATCCTAATGGAGAGAATTTTCCATCTCTATCTGTGTTGCTGTCAATGTATGTGTACTGTTCCTCCTTATGGAGGTAATGTAGTGGACATTTGTCCTCCTAAAATCTCCAGCTACTCCTGTTTCATGTGTTGCTGAAATATGAAGAGATTTTGTAAGACATACTCCAAATAGTGTCCTGCAATAATTAGACACCAAGGATAGTCTTTCTTATTCTAAATGCATGTGTATTCTTGTTTTGCAATGTCTCTCCCTAACCTCTGACCTCATTCACACACAGACATACACACACCATACACAAGCTGGGATGATAGTTTTATGGAGAGCTGGGATTTTTGGTCAGAAGAGAAAAACTTCCAGGTTGCAGAGTACTGTCTAGAAAAATCTTTCCCTACTGACCTTTGACACTGTTAATTTATGTTTACTAGCAAACTCCCTCATCCCCAGCCAATTAGAATAATCCAGGTTTTCTATTTATCAATTCCATGCCCAATGTGTGCAGACTGCCCCAGTACAAAAGCAAGCATGTGACTGGTCCATAATACCACATGTGTTGATGGGAACAATGAGGAATTGATAAGCGAGCAAGTATTTTTACATACCTGTTATGTATTCATTCTGTGTTTGGTGGGTGTGATAGATACAGATGGATGAGAATTAAATGGATGAGAACAAGGTCTTTCTAAAAGAAAAGAACACTCTACTGAGAACTTACTGGGGCCAAAACAGCCCTTCAGGATTTCAGAGGTTGATGGAAAAGGATCCCCTAGAGGTGAACACAGGAAGTACATAGAAAGGATTAAAAAATGATGATAATAAAAAATAACCCTAGGTAAAACACACACACCCTCACTTCTATGTATCCTTTTCTGTTGGGGAAAACTAAGTGAAGTTCAAAGTGGTAAGGGGAGGAATCACAGATACTGTGGAGTAGATAGTTGGTTGTAACCAACCCCTGTTAATGAAGAAGTTTTCATAGAAAAAGTGCTTCTAGGCCGGCGCCGCAGCTCACTAGGCTAATCCTCCTGTGGTGCCGGCACCCCGGGTTCTAGTCCTGGTTGGGGTGCCGGATTCTGTCCCGGTTGCTCCTCTTCCAGTCCAGCTCTCTGCTGTGGCCCAGGAGTGCAGTGGATGATGGCCAGGTCCTTGGACCCTGCACCAGCATGGAGACGAGGAGAAGCACCTGGCTCCTGGCTTCGGATCAGCATGGTGCGCCGGCCGCAGCAGCCATTGGGGGGTGAACCAACAGCCAAAGGAAAATCTTTCTCTCTGTCTCTCTCTCTCACTGTCCACTCTGCCTGTCCAAAAAAAAAAAAAAAAAAAGTGCTTCTAAAATTTGATCCTTGTCACCGCCAAAGGGAGCGTATGGTGGCACAATGGCTGACTAATACGGTGTCCTGGACAGGACTGTAGAAACAGAGAAAGATGTTAGGTAGCACTATGAATAAACTACAGACTTCAGTGAGCAATCATGTGTCAATATTGATTCACTTATTGCAAAAACTGTACCATGAGATAGTAAGATGGTAGTCATAGGGACTGTTCCATTTTTTCATGAATTTAAAGCCATTCTAAAACTGGAAGTATATTTTTTAAAAGAAAATATATATGGTCTTACAGCTTAGAGAAAATCCCTATCCTGGGGACAGGAAGGATGACAATGACCTTTTAGGAAAGATGTGACTTTGTGGTTAAATGCCACATTTGTGGCTCCATCATCAATTCCTATAGCGACACCGAGGTTCTGCTTGATTTTCCTTGTTGATTTTTGGCAGGCAGGAGTAGCATTTGTGCACTGATTATAATTTTCAGCTGCATTGTCAGTGACCGGGGTGTATAATAGATCGTCATCTCTCCATCTTTTTCTCTCCACAGGTGCCTGGAAAGGGTCCAGAGGGGAACGCCCACAGCCTCCGCTTTGATGGGATGGAGAGGCAGTATGCATCCTTGCCCAGGTAGGCCGCCGACGGGCTCCCATCAGCAGCTCACCTGCAAAGCGAGTCTTTAGAGAAGTCTCCATGAAATAGAAATCTGCCTTTGAGATAGGGAATGTGTTACAATTCTGCATTGCAGCCGTCTGCTGCAGCCCCCGTGCCATCCTCACAACTGTGCTAATAATTGAAACACTTGTGGCTTATTTTTAAAGGGAGAAAATAGTATATCATTGCAATTGAACATGTCAGCAAGAATATTGGATACTGAATGGAAATCTTAAGCCATTGCTATAAAAATGGTATTGAACATCCTGCATCAAGCTTAGAGATGATAAAGTAGTAAATCCTCTGTCCAAGGAGTTGCCCATGAGAAAGGGCAGGCCAGCCTTAACCTTGGCGTGTTAAAAAGCAGGGGAGAAACAGGAACCTGGGAAGGTGTTGGTGCTTGATTTAGAATCTGACCGAGCCCTGAAGGCAATAAGCAAATATTGCTGAGAGACACAGATACAGCAGGGGAAGGCAAGAACTGCGTGGGAAAGGTTCACTTGGTGATTCTGGCCTGGCACGATCCATTGATGCTGTAACTGGACACCCCTGCAAATGAGATGCAGCTCTCAAAGGTTTGCACTCCTATCTGTGAGATGAGGAGTAATTTTAGTCTGCTATCAGGAGCCCAGGACAAAGAGGAAACCATTCCAGAAGCGCAGACAGTCCACCCACTATGGCAGCTGGAGGAGTTGAGAGTGTGAGAATTAGTGAGTTCAAAAAGGAAACAAAGAAAGGTTAATGCCAGCCAGAAAACTCTGAAGCATTTCTGAGTATCGCCTTGTAAAAGGGTGAGGAGAGGACCCCACAGAAAGCATGTTCACCGTGGAAGCTAAGCTGTGAAAAGTGCTAACTCAGAGAGAGAGAGAGAGAGTTGCTGTTTTGAGTTTCGTGTTGGTTATACTTTTGTGGGTGAATTTACAAAAATAACATCCCGAATGTTACAACATGCATAGCTAGGTGACCATCTGCTCTTACAAATAGCATGTGGCTTCTCCAAAGTAATAAGATCTCAAATCTACTGGAGAACCAATTTTTAACTCTGATTAGGCAGGCTATCCCAAGCGCAGTATGTAAAAAAGCTTCCTTGCCACTGTATTTAGTTTCTCTTCCTCTTTTCTTTCTTCTTCCTAATGTTGTCTCGACGTTTTTCCCTCATCTGTTATTTTATTCCTGTCCCTGTTTTTCACTGGCCTGGTATTTTGTCTTTGTTTGAGAAATGGAAGTAGTTTCCAAAATTTATTTTAAATACAAGATTTCCGGCTTTCACCGTCGAAGTGTATGGAAATTGTGGTTAAGGCAGATGGAAAGTATGTTCTTCTGAGAAGGGGGAGAAAGGAAAACTGGAAACAGTTTCATGTCTTTCTGGCCAACTTGCACTCAGAATGTAGAAATAGATTTTTCTTCTGCACGAATCAAAAGCACAGAAAATAACATTTAAAGTTCTAATTTCCTCATCCATTCATCCCCATAGAGACAGTAATTACCTACTCTGTGTTGGGCCCTGAGAAGGTGGAGACTGGAGACACAACCCTGACCATCCTCCGGTCTCTCTCGTTTAGTAAAAGAGGCAAGCAAAGGAGCCTTTTATGATAGTGGAAACAAACGCTTATATTAGTAGTTATTACTATTTATCCTCTGAATCCCTGAAATTCTCTGAGTGTCCAGCTCCTATTTCCATTCCATTTATAAGCCCTGAAATGCTCTATCATGGCTGACTCTAAACAAGTCTATTTTAGGAATAAACACTGCCAAGCAAATTTTATGACAACAGCACTACATTTATGCTGTTTGTGGCTCTGGAGCCATCATCAGAACACATGAATTAACCAGATCCTGCCAGCCCTGGAAACATAGCCGTCGAAAGGCAAACATCGTAGACTGGGCGTCCCCTCGTTCCTGAACAGGGTGGTAGGAAGGCTTGGTTGCACGTGCAAACAGACCTTTATAGTGACCTGGCAGCAGAAGTAGCCATGGGGGAGAGAAAAATTGGGTTCAGATGCTGGAGAAATCCCAGGCGCTGGTTTTTAGTTGGGGAGCTCCAAGCCGGGTCTCCGTCTCAGCCTCCCAAGGGGAGGTATAAAGCTGCCTCCCATGCTCTGTGCTCCGGTCCATGGGAAAGGCGGGCTCCATGCCGACCGAAGCGAATCTGGCTGCAGAGGTCCCACACTGCCAGCTTCGGAGCAGGTGTGCGGGGTCAGCTCTGAGTGTCAGTGACATTTACCCTGGTGTTCTCCTCCCTCCCCCCACCCCCCGAGGTGGGAGAGTTGACTGTCCATTTAATTGAATCACACCAGCTTCACTGCTTTCCCCCTTTGCCAAGAGAATGAGGCACACACATCTCTGTAGGCACCGGATCCCTCTTTGTCACAGTGGCAGGGGGGCCTTGAAATATTTATGGAGTTAAATTTTTAATTAAAAATCAGAATAATGCTATCTATAGGAAGTCAGTGGCCAGCCTTCTGGAGGACTTAATCTGGTCTGACTGATAAGGTCCCTTCCTTGTGTCTGGAGCGCATACCAGGAGTTTTAAAGGTAAGCTCTCTAAAGGTGATTTGTCTTCCAAATGTGGAGCCATCATCAGAAACCAAATGCCTTACCATGCACACAGTAGGCAAGAAGCCCTAGACAGGGGCTCCCTCCTATGCATTCATGTAGCTCTGTGCTCTTCAGAGCACAGCCATGCAGCCTGCCGCCACTCCGAGTGATGCTTCACAAAATAGACCCGGATCCTAGGCCAGCACAGGACAGTTCCCACCATTGGTAGTTCGGAGGTTGCCTGAGGCTAAGGGCTAAGCAATGTTAAGTGTTGCTGTTAAGCAATGTTAAATCTTCTGCCTCCAAAGAAAAATGACTTTATTTCTTTTCTCCTGAGGGTGCTGTTTTGGAAAGCAGAGTGCGGTTGTAATACAACCTCATTAGCAAACACCAGGCCTTTACCAGGGCCAATGTTTTCCCAGCCTACCCAACCCCCAGTTTTCTTTAGGAGTAAACAGAACGAAATCAGCTTTCCCTTATTCTCACCTGACACCAGTTCTTACTCACCCTAGGTAAGTAGGGAAGTGGTTGTTTCCTAGGCTGCTAGAATGTGGGAACATCAAAGGATGTATTTTTGCAAACAGCTTCTTTTGCACTCCAGCCTGCCAGCCCCTTTCAATTCTCCCGGGCCCCATTCTGGTTTTACAGGCCTCCTCGCAGGCAGCCCCTTCGGCAGCTAACTCTCTGCTTTCCCATCTCAAGCCTCCATCATTCCCACCTGGCCCATCCCTGGCCCCATAGGACCCCATTATCCCCCTCTCTGCAGATGGTTCAGTGCATCGGCACAGGATGTTGCTCTTCCGGGCTTGTAATCAAGTGTACAGTCTTAGGGAGGGAGAAAAAAAAAAAAGCCCTGCATCTCTTGTCCCTGGCCCTTTGGACCTTGGCGGTGAGTGGTCACTGGAGAAACCATAAAATTGCGCTCATTGGCTCCACTGCAAGACACGCTGTGCAGCCCCGGCTGGGCCCTTACTGCTGTCCAGGATTTCTTTTATACATTGGTAAGCTCCCCCTGACACTCCTACCGTGGCACTCCTGTTAAGCTCCATGGAGATGACTAAGCCCACTCTCTGGAGATGACTCCACTTTATTGCCTTGATGACCCCGAGGCATCCTTCAGCAGCCCCCAACATCTGTGCCCTGCAGCTAACACTGTGGTGTCTTGACTCACACACACACACGTCCAGACAGGACCCAGTGAGGGCCTGGACTTGGCTCTGGCTACAACCAGAACCCCGCCTTCATCACTGATGTGGTATTGGCAAATAACCTAATTGCTCCAGGCTGTGTTTTCTTTTTTTTCCCCTTTTTTTATTATGATTTTATTTAAGGTATATAATTTCATGTATACAGATTTAGGAACATAATGATACCTCCCACCCCAACTTTCCTCCCACCCCCACTCCTACCCTTCCACCTCCTTCCTCTCCTATTCCCTCAATTTTTACAATGATATTTATGCTCTTTTTCCCCTAGAAACCTTTTATGTAAGGAATACAAACTTCATGCATTTCATAAATACAATTTCAGGAACATAATGATTCTTCCCACCCTACCCACCCTCCTACTCACAGTCCCACCCTTCTTAGTTCTCCCTTTCCTATTCCCATTATTTCTTACTAAGATCTATTTTCAATCAATTTTATACACAGATTAACTCTATAGTAAGCAAAGAGTTCAACAAATAGTATGAAAAAAAACTGTTCAACAATTTTTTTTATTTCTCTTTTGATTTCTTCTATGATCCACTATTCATTCAGGAGTATGTTGTTCAGGTTCCATGTGTTTGGATATGTTCTAGATATTCTTGAGTTGTTGATTTTCAGCTTGATTCCATTGTGGTCAGAGAAGATGCATAGTATGATTTCAATTTTTTGAATCTGCTGGAGACTTGCTTTATGGCCAAGCCTGTGGTCTAGCCTAGAGAAAGTTCCAGGCACTTGTGAGAAGTATGTGTATTCTGCAACCATAAGATGAAAAGTTCTGCAGATATCTGTTAGGTCCATTTCATCTATAGTGTCAATTAACTCTGTCATTTCCTTGCTGATTTGCTGAATGGTTGATCTGTCCATTGCTGAAAGTAGAGTGTTGAAGTCCTCCATTACTATTGTATGCGACTCTGTGTCTCCCTTTAGATCCATTAACATTTCTTTTAAACAGCCAGGTGCCCTGTTATTAGGTGCATATACATTTATTATAGTCATATCTTCCTGTTGAATTGATGCCTTAATCATTGTATAGTGCCCTTCTTTGTGTTCAAGTCTATTTTGTCTGATATTAGGATGGCCACACCAGTTATTTTTTGGTTTTTGTTAGCATGGAATATCTTCTCCATCCTCTAACTTTCAGTCTATGTGTATCTTTGTTGGTGAGATGTGTTTCTTGTAGGTAGCAAATAGATGGGTTTTGTTTTTTAATCCATTCAGCCAGTTTGTATC